CAGCATCAACAAAACCTGCCAAATGACTGGACAGGGGGGTGAGAGTGAAAAAGCAAGCATGGTAAAGCTGGTTAATGGAAAGAATATAGTGCCCTCAACAAAATATGAAAGTTCAGAGGAGGTCTGGTTTTAGGGAAACAACAATAAACTGTTGGGGCTTTTTAAACATCAAGCAGGCAGCTGGAGACGAGGGACCAGAATCCAGAATAGATGAGGGCTGGATGTGTAAGTCCAGAAGTCATCTTTGACATGGCACAGTGGCTGGAGAGAAGGCCTTGAAGGCAGGAAGAAGTGGATACATATCTTGCTTCTGACACATGTAGGCCTGGGCAAATCACTTAACCTCTTAGGACTCTGAGCAACTCTCCAAGACTTCTCAGTCGTAAAGAAGGTGAGGACCTACATTTGGTGGAGGGTGCTTCTTCAACCAGAAGTTCCCTGTACCAATGAAAATTCCGGTGCAGTCCTCTTTATCCTTATCCTACATGGACACGATAGTTAAATGAGATCCCTGAGAGACTATGGACCAAATACAAACAAGTGGGTTTTGCATCAGATTCGTAATATAAACTTCATTGAAATTTCCCCCAGAAAATCTTGTAACAAAAGCATTTTTCAAAAAAACTTTTGCAAAGATATTGGAAGTTCATTTGGAACTTTACCTATACTAATATAGATAGGTATCAACTATGAAACTCATGGACTCAAATACTAAAAGTGAGGTAAACTGTTGGGCCTGATTTGTAACTGAAGCCCTCAAAAACTGGAACTAGAGAAAATAAGTACATATTCTTTTCAATCTGTGGTCAATCAGTTATGCATAAAATAATGTGATTAAAAAAAAAGACCACTGGGCTTGAAGTCTGAAGACCCAAGTCTGTGTTCCTCTGGAGAAATGCTAACTGGCATGGTGACCATACCTAAGTCACTTCATCTTTCCAAGTCCAAGCTCACTTTTACTGAGCAGAAAACATACAGAACTTGCATTATAAAGCTCACAGGTCAGTAAACAGCAAAATGTTAGAGAACTGTAAAAATTATTGCTTTTTGCTCATTGAGCTAGAATTTCTCAGCACAATTTCCCACATTCCTGGGAATAAGTGAGGAAGGCTTGAAATAGGCACTAATACTTTTAAATCTTTCAAGTATTATGTTTCATGGATCACAGGATAAGAAGATATAGAAGGCTGGAGGAGTCACTCATACTGATGAATTCACCAATCCATACAAGTTTTGAGGAAGGCTATTATTTAGTAAATTATAGCTCTATTGAACTAGTAAAACCAGTTAATCTGGCCTACCATTGGGATAAAAAGGGCAGCAAAAATCCATTAGTGATGTTTTTTTTTTCCGTTAATGATCTTGATACTATGATCAGGGTACCAAGAGCTAAATAAAATCCTAGTTGATTACACCAGCACACTGGCTCCATATATCAACCTCCTGATACATTCTAGGCCAGGGCTATGAGTCATCACTAACATTGTAAATGCATGTCCATGGTTATTCCTGAAGTACACTCATATTTTCTAGGCCATTCCCAGTTTGTTGCTCTTTCTTACCCCCACCCCTCCACCCCCAAATCAAGACAATGGCCTGTATTAATTGGTAACGAGTTCAATTGTTTCTAGCTGCTGAAGAGTGCACATTAAAATTTTATGCCATCTAAATTTCAGTGCTCTGGGAGAAAGTCCTTTTTCTAGTTACAGTTCTGGCTTTATGATACAGTGGAAAGAAAGAGAAATAGACTTGGGATCACAACACTTAAGGCTTGTCCCTGCCACTTTTACTAACTGTATGAAAGAAGCAAGCTCTTTATCCTGTGAGACTTAGTTTCCTCTGTATAATGAAACAGTTGGTCCAAGTGACCTCTAAGGTTCCTTTCATCTTTCAGTTCTATAAGAAATCACAACATGTTAAGTATCTATAACTTGTATTATGCTGCAATTATTAATTTAGATCTGGCCCCAAAGAGTGATGTCTGTTTCCTGTTCTCCAGTGGGCTGTACCTTCTATTCAAGGCCTCTACTGTGGGAGGAAGGAAAGTTCTTTCCCTCCCTGCCCAAAATGTGCTGTTCCCAGAAGTTCCTTCAACATGTTTCCTTAGTTTTAATCTTAAGTTCCAAATTTTATCATTTCTCTATTTTAAAAAATCTTTGCTTGCTTGTAAAATGAAGGAATCACTAGCAGTCTATAAATAATTACACTGTTATAATTGTTTTTGACAAAACTAATTTTGTGAAAGACCTTGGGAATGTTCTTTACCGAAGACTAGAACTTTGAAATAATGAACTTGCCAATCCCACAACACACTTTTGTTCTTTCCCTTTCCTAGTTGGACACCTTTCTTCTCCATTCCTAAAGGAAACATTAAGGAATAGATTGCATAAACAGTTCTGAGAAGGCCACACATACAAAAGAACTTAAATTTTAAAGGAAGGTAAAGATCCTTTTCCTAACTGGAAAGAGCAATGAAGTGGCTGAATTAAGGTATCAGTTCTACCACTCACTAACCGTGTGACCTTGGCTAAGTCTGGACCTCTCTGAGTCTCAATTTCCTCATCTGTAGAGAGAATAATATTTGCAGGACCCAACTTACAGGGTATTTGGGAGGAAAGTGCTCTATTAACAATAAAATGCTGTGAAAATGTGAGCAATTATCTTAACTATAACTTGGAAACTACAAAGAGAGAGTCCTTTAAATGGATTTGGTAATACCTGTAGTTTCACTCTCTACTTTAACAAGGCTAATATATATAAAATATTATAAATGAATTTTAAAGAATTAGTTCAAATATAAATAATAGGCTACAGATACCCATCTCCACATGAAATCTAGTATTCTTAGTATTTTCAAACAATTTCCATTTAATTTTTTGTTAAAATTTCAAAAGTATTTCAAAAGTACTGTCATTCAACACTGTTTCTTAAATCCCTCTGCCTCATAGAAGATGGTCTGCTGCATCTGGGATTAGTGGAGCTGTATACACATGAACAAATGGATCAGTTTTTTTTTTCAAAGAAGTCACTTCCATTTGAGGTACATTTTAAAATTTATAAACTGTTTTTAGATGACTTGTAAATGAATTTCAAAATATCACAAGATGTATCAGGGGATTCTAAGATAACTATACCTCTATGGGAACCAAGTATTAGAAAAGTCTAGTGATGAGAATGACAGAATTTTTAAGAGTTCTGTATAAAATTTATATTAGTTATTTTTGGACCTTTTATCAATTTTTAATGAGTATAGGGATAAGGGATGAGAACATTATAAATTTAAAGCTTCAAATGGAAGTGACTGTTTTGTAATAAGTAAATTCTGCTACTTTCTCCAGCAATTGGGTCCAATCATTACCTATTTAAAATCCTGTTTGACCTTTAAAGCCCTTCACAACCTGGACCTTTCCTAGCTTTCCAGTAACCTTACATTTTACTCTCCTCCATGTCCTTTACTGTCCAAGTAGCCTAGTCTTCTTCCTGAACTTTTCCATTGGCTGTTCCCAATACCTGACACATTCTCCCTCTCCATCTCTGCAACCGGGTTTCCCTGGCTTCTTTCAACACTCAGCCCCAAACCTACCTTCTGCAGGAGGCTTTTCCAATCCACACCTTCCTCTCCTAGTACTTCCCCTCTGACCAAAAATGTGATGAGTGTTGCCTGCAGGTGGTTCATCCTCTATTTACACTTCACCTATCTTGTATGTATGTAATTATTTCTAATATCGATCTCATTGTACTCTGAGCTCCCTCAGAGCAGGGGTCATGTTTCTGTCTTTCTTTGTATCCCCAGTACTTGGGCCTGGCACATAAAAAGCACTTAATGCTTGGTGACGGACTGAGATGCTCCGTTTTCAAGTAGCTCTGACCCACTGAACCTAGACAAGTCCTCTGGAGCCAAATAGAATAAACATATCTAAATCTCCCTTCCACATGATAGCTTTTTAAATGTTTGAAGACAGAAGTGATTCTCCCAAGCCTTCTTTTCTCCAAGCACTGCCCTCTGAAGTATCTTACCGGACTCACTCATTCCTCGAGGCACTGATTGCCCTCTAGTATCTTACAGGACCCTCAGTTCCAACATCAGGTTGTCATTATTTAAAAAAATAAATAAAATAGATCTTTTTGTGTGTGTGCAAACGCCAGAAAAATGCACTCAGACCTGGAATGGAGGAACTGAGTGCTATTATAGCTCTGTCCCTTCAATGGGATACAGTGTAAAAACTAATGTGAAATTGGCAGCCACTTCCCTAAAAAAGATTTGGAACCGGCCTGGGTTCAAATCCCAGCCCAACTCCTTACTATCTTTTTAACCTCGGTCAGGTCATCTCCCTCCCCCACCTCGCTACGGTTTCCTCCTCTGTCAAACTAGGGTGTTGTACTAGATAATCTCAACTGTTTGTTACAAATTCCAAACTCTTCGATCCTACCGCCTGGATTAGAATTTAAACTCTGCCACGGTAGCAAGTCACTTAACTTTCCTTCCATAAAATGAGAGTAATAATAATCCTGAAGCTGTCTTCTCTCCGCCCTCGCCCTCTCCCCCCTTCTCCCCCCTCCCCAGTCACGGGCAGCTAAGTGGCACAGTGGATAGGGTACCTGGCTTAGAGTTAGGAAGACTCGTTTTATGGAGTTCAAATTTGGCCTCATATACTTACTAGATGTGTGACCTCGGGCAAACCACTTAACCCTGTTTGCCTCAGTTTCCTCATCTGTAAAATGAGCTGGAGAAGGAAGTGGCAAATCACTTCAGTATCTTTGCCAAGAAAACCCCAAACAGGGTCACGAAGAGTGGAACACGACTGCACAACAATATCCCTCCTTCACAGAGCTGTCCTTAGCAAACTTCAGAAGTACTACAGAAATGCAAAGTATTATTAACAAAAAGAAAAAGAAAAAGAAAAACCACCACAACAACTGAGAAATGGCTAGAACAGTGGTGGTGGTGCACGGTTAAAAGGGAGTGGGAGTGGATGACTAGTGGGCGCTCTGAAACAAACCTGTAAAGACCAAAAACGTGATGAGTGCTGCCTGCAAGTGGATTCGAAACTTGAGCCTGACCTCCTGGAAATGCATCATGGCACTGTGGAAGATGAAAGAGCAGATCATCTCCACGAGGAACGCCTCGGGCAGAGCCAGGTGGATAGGGCTGGTACACTTCACAGCCCTCTCGACAAAGTGGCGCTTGGAAATGCCCAGGCTCCAGACCCACATCATGAAAGTCCGGCTGAGTCCCGAGCTGAGCATCTGCGCGAAGATCTTGAGGAAGCCCAACCACAGGGGCATCTGCTCCAGCGCCAGCTGCTCCAGGACCCCGCACGGGTTGCTGATGGCGCCCACCAGCGTCAGGCCGTGGACCAGGGAGAGGAAGTAGATCATGGTCAGGATCCAGCTGGGGTTGGCCGGCCCCAGGTCGCCCAGCACCTGGAGCTCTAGACAACAGCAGCAAAGCTGGAAGGTGGCCAGCAGCTCCGCCGCGAAGACGCGAATGAACGAGGAGCTGATGTGCCTCCGGACCAGGACGCGCGCCACGCCAGTGAGCAGGACCACGCAGAGCATCACCCCCAGGGATATGCAGGTGTCCTGCCCCTCCGCCCACATCTTCAGCAGAGTCAGCTGCAGCTCCCTCGCTGAAATCGCCGGCTGCTTTGGAACCTCCCGGCTCTGGACCTGCCCCGGGTCCAGAGTCCCCGGGCGCAACTCGTTCCCCAGCTCCAGCTCTGAGGCTTAGAGGAGGGAATTGGATGAAAGGGGGTGGGCTCAGGGTGGGCTCCTCCTCCTCGTCCTCCCCTCCCCGGCTCCCGGATCGTCTGTGGGGGCAGAGCCAGGGAGGGGAGGTAGCGGACTAGGACGGCGACTCCGGGGACGGAGGGTCCCAACGGTCAGTCTCACCCAGCCGGGGAAGAAGCGCAGACAGCACACACGCACCTCGTCCGCCTCGGACCGAACGAATGAGGTGGGGAACCTGGGGAGGGGAGGGGAAAAGGGAGCAGAGGAGCGCGCGCCGGGGCGCACCACCGCGCGTGCGCGACCGGCCAGCCCGCTTCTCCTTCCCCCGGCCCCCTCCGGCTCCTGGCCACGCGCCCCTTTGACCTTTGGGAGTCGAGGTGGAAGTCTCCCCGGAGTAGGAAAGCGAGGGCGCGAGCACGCCACCGCGGGGGCGGGAAGAGCGGCCCGCCGCGCAGGCGTACGCTTGCGGGAGCGGGCACGCGCCAGCACCGTTGGGGGGCGAGAGCGTCCGGGACTGGCGTGGGTCGGGTCGCCCAAGTCGCTGCGAGCGATAGTGTGACAGTTAGCCCGGAGCAAAGAAGACATCTACGCGGGTCAACCGACTTTCCTTCAGTGTTCCCACCTCCATGGCCGGGGGACAAATCCCACACCTGCCCCACCTCCGCCTCGCGTGGTTGCACAATTTCTGTGGTGACATAAAGACTCAGTTTCCCCGCAGTGCGGTGGCCGTGCCCCCTGCCAGAAAAACCGTCCGGGGAGGGGCCTGCCTGGAATTTTCCACACTCTCAATTATTCACCACGGTTTGCTCAGGATTTGCGAGAAAGCCAGGGGACGGACGTGATCACCACCTTCGTGTGCTTGGCAGGCACAGTATTGCAGAATTTTAATGTTGGAAGGGACCTCAGAGCCCGTTGGACCCAAACTGTGCCCAAAACAATAGGACCTAAGGGACGAGTGGTCATCGAGGGTCCGCTCGAGGGCAGGCTCCTCCTCGCCTGAGCTCCCTCAGGTTACCCTGTGGGATAGCTCTAATGGGCAGCAAGTTTTCTCTGTTGTGGAGTCGGGTCCGACCCTTGGTGACCCCATTTGGGGTTTTCTGGGCAAGGATACTGGAGTGGTTTGCTCTTTCCTTCTCTGTGTCATTTTGCAGATGACGTCCTTGACATCAAGCCTAAATCTGTCTCTGCAGCTTGTACTTGTGCTTAGCCCCAGAGAACAGAACTAGGAGCATTCGGGGTGGGGGAGCGTTAACTAGAGGCTCCCGAGTGAGAAAAATAGTCCTCATACCATCCGAGAAAAAGAAAAAAAGTAATTATCTCCAGAGATAGCTGATTCTTCATCTTGGGAGCTACTCAAAAAGATATGAACATGATAGCGATTTTAAAGGAATAGTTTCTTCTCAGTTAAGGGTTGGACTAGATGACCTCAAAGGTTTTAGTTTTCAGTCACTTGGGGGAAAATGGCCATTTTCTCTCTTTACACTTTCTCTTTTTGGTCAGTTCATTCACTCTTACAGGTTTAACTACCACTTAGGCAGATGACTCCCAAATCTCTTACCTCTAGTTCTGATTTCCTTCTGAGTGTCAGACCTGAATCTCCAGCTGCCTACAGGACATCTTTACCAGCATGGATGCCTCAGACACAATGGACTTTTTCTTTCTCCCTAAACCTGCTTTTTCGCTATACCTGTCAGTGGTATCCTTATTCATCCACTCTTCCACATTTAAAACCTTAGTGTTCTTTTCTATAACTTCTTTTCTTTCACCCCTCCTATCCAAGCAACTGTCAAGTTCTGTCCACTCTTCCTTCCTTACATCTCACCTCATTATCAAGCTCTCTGGATTACTGCAATTGTCTCTGAGAAAATTTCTCTATCCTACTGCTATTAGAATAGTCTATTATATGCATAGATCATAGCAGCTGTTCAGTCCTCTCTCCTCAAGCTACCAACTCCACCTCCATCACAGCCAGGAAATCGAAATAACCTAAACTCAAAGTCGCTTTTGTTTCTTCCTTTTCTGTCGACCTACATCCAAGCAATTGTCTGGTTTTATCAATTCAAATTCCACTTCTCATTTATCTTCTTCTCTCCACTTATGACCTTAGTTAAGGCTTTTATTACTCCCCCCCCCCCAGATTACTATAACAGTCTCCTAACTTCATCTCTAATCTGCCTCTTTGTCAATCTATCTTTCATTCAGCATTCTGACATACAGGCCTGTCCTTTGCCTGCTAAAAACAAAACCCCAAAACCTTCTGTGGCTCTAGGATAAAATATCTTAGCTTGGCATTTAAGGCCCTTCACAATCTGGCTGTAACCTACCTTTCCAGTCTTATTGTATATTATTTCCCTTCATGTGCTCTGAGTTCCAGCCAAAGATGATTTCATCTCCTGCTTGAATGACCACAATAATAATTAACATTTATATAACACTAAGTGTCAGACACTGTCCTAAGTGCTATACAATTTTTATCTCATTTGATCCCCACAACACCCCTGGGAAGTAAATGTTATTGTCATTCTCATTTTACAGATAGGGAAACTGAGGCAAACAGAGGTTGAGTGACATGTAAACTAGTGAGTAAGCTGGTGTCTAAAGCTGAATTTGAGCTCAGGTCTTCTTGACTCCAAGCCCATACACTACATGAAGCACCACCTAGCCGCCCCTGTGAATGAGTGAGGAAAGCAATTTATTAAGTGCTTACTGTGTGCCAGGTGCTATGCTAAGCGCTGGGGAATATAAACACAAACAAGCAAAACAGCCCTTCTGAAAGGGAAAGACAACATGCATAGAGAAACTAGATTGGACAGTGGGGTAAAGAACAGAACATAGACAGTATCGTTTGGGGGGTGATTGAAATGTGTTGTGGTGGTCTGGTTCCAGAAAAAAAATAAGTCTGAGGTACCAGGGGCAGAGGTTCAAGGAGGGCCTGCACACAGGTGGCCTGATTTGGAGATGGTTGGGAAATGGTGAGGTGGCATTTATTAAGCACTTACCATGTACCAGGTACTATGCTAGACACTGAATAATACAAATACAAAAAGCGGAATAGTCTCTGCCTAAGAGCGTACATCGAAGGAATAGAACACGTTCACAGATAAAGTTGATTGTTGTTGCCCTTCATACTCTAAGAGAACCCAAGTGACATCACTGTGTCGGGGTCAGTGTACAGTGTGTCTGACTTTGGTTGATCAGATCAGTAGAACTACACACACACACACACACACACACACACACAGGATTTCAGGGAAGGAGGAGAATGGGGACAAACAAGAGTGGAAATCAGGAAATTCTTAGAGGAAGTGATAATTGAACTGGACCTTGAAGGGATTATAAAAGATGGAGGTGAGAATGAAGGAGGATTCCATGTATGAGGGTGAAACCATGGATATTTATTCTATGTAAGTAAAATAAATAAAAAATTTAAAAATAAACTTTTTTTAAAGCAGAAAGGACTTTGGAAATTAGCCAGGCTAGCCTTTTCTGTCAATCATTATGCATTTTCATATTATAATATCCTAAATAAATTTAAGGACCTGAGGCAATATTCCTAAAATAATACTGTGCTAAATGCCTGTTGAAGTTAACATTCGTTTTAATATAAATTGAATAAGAAGACATAAATTATTTTTATTAGAAATACAAACCTCACCCAACTGGTTTGTCTCCTGCCTTTTGGCTTTGATTTTGGTAAATATGAAGGCACTTTATAGCTCTAGTTTATGATCTAGCAAAACAAAACCGGATTCTTGCTAGGATTGTCAACTCTTTAGCTGACCATTATGGACACTTTATCCTTCCTAGTTTTATCCTACCTTACTTTCAAGTTGACTTCCTGTTCATTAACTCCTTTTTGCTTCTTAGCTCCTCCTAAACTGGTCATTGTCTTTTTCCAATCTGGAATATGCCAATCCCAACTGAGGTGTAACTTAACATCTTGGGTTCTGTGTTCTATAATGAGGCAATTTCCTTCAGTGGTGTTCTGGAGTCATCACTTGTCAATGGTTAAATTTTCAATGTGAGCTTGATTTATTGCTTTGTTGATTGTCTAGAGTCTAGATTTAAGAAAGTGATGGAGAAAATATTAATAATGCAGATTAAATTTAAAGGTGTGTCCAGCCTACATTTTTTCCCCCTAGAGATCCAGTTGTTAAACATTTACCAGCGTCTCACCTTGTCCAATTCTGAATGATACTGTTAAGGAGAAATCTAGTTTTCCTCTCTCTACTTCGAACCTAGTACAATCCTCCTCATTGGTGATCCCATACAGTAAGATTTATTAATATAACATATCAGAGACCACCTCCTGACACAGAAGGCCTTGGTACGTACATCTTAAGTAATTTCTCAGTTCTTTGGCTTATTGCTCCCTTGAAGATAAAGTGATTTCAGGATCTGACATTCCACCCTCACAGTATAGTTAACAACACATCTTAAAAGCACTTAAGTTTGTGAGGCTCAGAAACATGAACTCTCAAGGAGCTTACATTCTAACAGAAGAGACAATAAGAACATATGTAAGTATAAATATAAATACAAAGTAGTTAAAAACAAGGTAGTTTGAGGAGGAGGAAAACATCAGCTATTGAGATTAGGAAAGGCTTCAGTTGGTGGTGCTTAAGCTTCATCTTTTTTTTTTTTTAACATTTCCATATTAGTCATGTTGTGAAAGAAGAATCAGAACAAAAGGGGAAAGCCATGAGAAACAAAAAAAAAAGAGAGAGAGAAAGAGAAAATAGTATGCTTCAATCTGCATTCAGATTCCGTAGTTCTTGCTCTGGATGTAGATAGCATTTTCCAGCATGAGTCTTTTGGAATTGACTTAGATTATTGCATTGCTGAGAAGAGCTAAGTCTATTAAGGTTGGTCATCACAGTGTTGCTGTTACTGTGTACAATATTCTCTTGGTTTTGTTCAGTTCACTCAGCATCGGTTCATGGAAGTCTTCCCAGGTTTTTCTGAAATCTGCCTGTTGAACTTCATCTTGAAGAGAATATTGTTGTTGTTTTTGTTTGTCCTTCGTTCTCGAAGAGGACCATGACATCAGGGAGATGATTCCATGACATCAAGTGAATTAGATTTAAATGAGGGAGGGCTGTGTGAAGTCTCACTTGCTTCTCCAGAGCCATCTGAGAATAATCGATTCCATGAAGGAGAGGTAAGGAGGGAATGCATTCCAGGCAGGAAGGACAGCTTATTCAAGGTATGGAAAAAGGGATATGGAGTACTGTTTGAGGAGCAGAGAGGCCAGTTTGGCTGAATTGCAGAGTTAAAAATGCATTGTATAATGTATGATGAAGATGGAAAAATAGGTCGACACAAGGTTTTAAAGGATTTTAAAAGCTAAGTAAAGGGTTTGTATTTGATTCTAGGAGAAATAGTAAGCCACTTGAGTTAATTGACTGGCAGAGTCACAGGTTCAGATGTGAGTTTAAGGAAAATCACTTTGGCAGAAGTGGGGAGGGTGGAATGTAGTGAGGAAAGACTTGAAACAGAAACCAATCAGAAGGTTGTTGCCATAATCTAGGTAAGAAGTGATGAGGGGCACTCTTAACATTGTAGCTGTGTGAACAGAAAAAAAG